CCTGGGTCAGCTGCCTCTGGTGTATGATCGACATTAGTGTGCTCACACCACATTTATTAAATTGCCTAATGATGAGAAGATAGGGAGAGAAATATATGACATTAAAACTGGAGCCCACACAGTGCGAGCGGTCTGTCCGGGCGGCTTCGCTCTTGGAGGTAATATCGTCAAATAGGCGGGGGAACCGCTCACGGGGAATACAAATGTTGCCTTTAAGTCTTAGATGGGTGGCTGAAAATGTGGAAGCATTCTGAAGGAGGAAGATTCAGTTATTTATTGGATTAATCACTGTCATCATATGAGCATTGTGGAGAAGCAATTTAGATGGTAAATACCAAGTTTGCTCGTATATCAAATGTTGATAGTGTGGCGTGCCAAACTTGGCCTGCACATTTCGGACGGAAAGAGACTTATGACGAATAAATGTGCTTATTTGTTGTCAATGCAGCTTCATCTTGGTGAAGCAAGGAGAATTTAGATTACTTTATGTGAATATCAATGAATTGGTGAAAATGTTCATTGTTTTTTTGAAGACCTAATACACAATTCAAGCTAATGGATTTGTGAATGAATGAATGAATGAACGAACAAATTAATATTTATGGGAAACCCATTTGAAAACAGTAATTTCTGAAAGAAAAATAACTTTGTATTTCGATATATATCTTTATTTATGAAATTCTAATTGCAGTGTAAATGCATTCATCCCACATCTGAACAGTCTTGTAAATATAGCCAAATGCACTTCAGATGCAGCTTCTGAAAACAAGGGTTTATGTCTTATACATTCTATTTTGAATAAAAATATTAATTTCTAAGGCTGCTTTTTTATAGTGTCTATTAAATGCTTTTTTTCATTTAACACAATAATGACTTTAAATTTGGATTTTGGGGGGTAATTTCTCAGCCCAAATTGATGTATGATTAATTATTATATATAGTAGTATTATAACAAAATATATGCTATAATTTTTTATATACAATGTCTATAATATAATGTGATTTAATATGCATTTATTTATATTTAATAATAGAATTTGAAAATGTTTGCTTTATTAAATTACACATTTCTATTACAATTATATTACACTTACACGTTTTGGCAAAATATTAAAAAAAAACTGCATTACCTACATCAGTAGTCTAACATATTGTATAAATAGGTATTTAGCTACTAGTCAAAATAAGATCTGGCCTAGATGACATCAGCTGAAAAAGAAAGTTGTTTTAGAAGTGAAGCAAATATAATTCTGACAAAAGGTTAGAAAGATTACGTTCTGAATAGGTTTTGATTGAATGTTGACTTAGGAACAAAGCTGAGAAACAAAACAATGGTTATGTATGTTTGGTTATGAAGCAGTTAAGGATTGCAGTATTTGAATATGATTATAGGTTTAGAATGTGTGGAGTGTATTGGGAACAATCTTAACCTTCACTAATGATAATAGCAGGTACAGTGTGGAATACCTGTTTAGATGGGGATGCCACATGGAGAACTACAAGGCAAACAATTCACCAACCAATGCTTTGATCAGCAGCAGATGTCAAAATCATCTCTTTACTTTCAGATCAAATGACAACTCAAAGTCAATGAATCCAGGAGTGTGCATGCGTGGAGAAAATCGCTTTCATCTTTCTCTCACTCATATGCATTGATGGGACCATATAAGCCGGAGTCTATACAGCCAGCGCTATCTATTATTTACAAGTCGTCTATTTGACAATGCCGGTGGAGTATGGGTTTCCTCTGAAAGATCCAAACATCTTAATTACACTCCTGCCACCTAATAAGGAAGTGAAGTCTGGATGATGAGAGTGTGAGGCCAGTTTTGGCATTTTCACCAGAATCTTGGAAAATAAATAAAAAAATAAATAGTGATGAAACAAGGGAAATCAGTTTTGTCAGAATCTCTGTACCATTTTTAGTGCTGTTTGTTTACTGCATAATGCTAATTATGAGCAGAAGGCACTTCTGGAAACAGGGTACAGAATATTGCTTAAAACAAAAGGTGCCAAAGGAGGCAGTTAACCTTTAGCAAGTTTTAAACGTCAACCTTGCGAGGTCAAACTAAATATTATATGAGCTGCTGTATTTCCTATTAATTTTCTATGAGGTCCGCCATGTTTGCATCCCTGTTACCGGATTTAAGAAATAAAATCTAAATGCAGTTTAAAAACTTTATTTTGAATCAATAAACCTTAAATGAACACTAAAATTAAATAAATAAAGAAATATTTATTTATTTGTTTGTTTGTTTGGCCTAAATCTAGCTGTTTTTCACATAGACCTGTTGGTTTGTAGCTATTAATAAATATGTTTCTTGTGTAAATATGTTTAAATATGTGAGCAATGTGCTGAAACGTTTGCTTGCTTGCTCGTGTCCATCTGTTTTTAATTCACATGCACTTTGCACTTGAATGTGCAAAGTGCACATTCAAGTGCAATATGTTTAAAAATATGTTTTTTTGTAGAGTTTTTAGTCTTGAGTGGATCAGTGTGCGGTTAGCCACCCTCTTGCTCATTGTCTAAATATGTTGTCATTAAATACAATTAACAATTAAAAACAATTATCAATTAGAACAGATTATTGCACTGTTAATTGTTGGATACAGTAGAAACGGTCAAGACCTCTGAGGTGGAACAGGCCAAAATCTCTATTTAAAGGAGGATAGGATTGGATTAGGAACGTATTTCATAGTTCTAGAGTGTGCTTCAACAAATCATCAGGCGCCAAAGTAACTATGTATTCATGGAAAGTGCCAGAATGAGACTGAGTAGATGTTACATAAAACAACAAAATAAAGGCTGAGTTTCAGATTCATCATCCAAGCCATTGTCAGAGCAATCATTTCATCGAACCAGGTCTTATCCTTCTGGCCATAAGCAAATTATGACTTTAAAAAGTATTATGTACAATAATATACGAAGGCTGAGTTCTCCCATGCTGGAGTGATGTACTATTTTAATAACATCCTAAAGAGATTCCACCCATTAAAATCACTCTACTGTGACTGTACAGATTTCCATTAAACATTTATTGATATTGAAGGCATATAAAAATAAATTAGTAAAAGGACTGGATTGTTTTACATATGGCACTGAATGCAGCGGGGAACAATGGATCACGATGAGTTAGAAATGAGAGGCAATTCCTTTCATGATGTTCTCCTAGCAGCCCAAGTTAATAGCAGGTCCTCATTACTGGGACCAACTGAATTATACATCCAGTGCAATTTCTGGATAAATAGCTCCACTGATGGCCTGAAATAGCTTGGCAGCTGAGCCCTAATGCGGCTGAAATTTCTCAGTGGAATATCTTCATTCTAAATAAGTCTGGTGGAGTCACTGTGGCTTCTCAGGAACTGCTTTTATTGCGAAACTTATACCAATATCCAGACGCCTACTGGGAAGCTTTGAGGTCATATTTCTTACCATGTCATCTCAAAGAGAACCTCCTCGAGCAGGAACCCCCTTGGCAAAGGTGATGTCATCTGCAGGCAGTCTTCATGTTGACCCCGTGTGGCCCAGACAAATGAAAGCCAAGCGCTTCAGCTTTGGAGAGATACTGACAGTGCTGCTTTGAAATGCTGATTATGCAGAATGTCCGCAGTCCCGCTGACTGAGTGTGTGCTCTACAAGAAGGTTTTGATCAGAGCGATGACCCTACCAGCAGGGGAAAAGCCCCACTCAGCTAATCATTATAGATCACAGAGAACCTGCGAAACACCCCTCAAGAATTAAAGAGCTTCAGATATTGGTATGTATTTGATTCAAGTCTTCATGGTAACTTTTTAGGCTTGACTTAATTTGTGCAAAACGAGATTTAGACCAGTGGTTCTCAACTGGTTTTGCTTCAGGATCTAGAATTTACAATAAGTAGTGAGCCAACACACTTTCAATATAGCTTGACATACAAAAGTCCTTAAAATTACTACTCTCAAAAATGTATTCATATTTCCACAAACTGCATTGGCCTATCAATAGACAAATGTATAAACATTTGAACATAAGAATGTCATATAATTTGATTGTTTTATGAAAAGGAAAGGTTACTTGAGGTTGTAAAATGTCGTGTGGTGCAACTTCCCAAAACTTGACATTTATGGATTTTACCTTGAACAACAACAAAAAAAATGATTAAGATGTGTAAACTCATGTGTATTCAATGTTTAAGTAAAATAGGTTATTCCTTATAATTTGATGATTACTCCATATAACAGCTTTCCTTGAAAATGTTATAAAATATTTGCAAAACATGTGAAATTAACATAAACATAGTACTTTTTGGGGGGAAAATGGCACACTTGTACATGCTATTGACCCAAATATACAAATTAGATGTTCATGAGTTAAAGGAATAATTCACATAAAATTACAACATCTCAACATCTTTAACAATTGTTTTTTTTTTTTTTTTATAATGATGATGTGTACATCGGCATGTATTCAGAGTTGAATGACAATAGGTTATTTGTTTTTGTTTGATATCTACACCACATGACATTTTTAGAGTTTTTAAATTAAAAACTTTCCTTGAAAAGTGTATAAAAGACTGTCAAAACCTGTGAAATCAACATAAACACAATAAGTCCATTTCCAGGAAAACACTTTTATATACCATTGACCCACAAATACAAATTACATACAATATTTTCAAGAATTAAATGGATGGTTCACCTAAAAATACCAATTCTAGACATTCTTTCTTGATTGGAATAGCAAAGAAAGAAAGAAAGTGTTTTGGACCCCACATTCTTCAAAAAGAAAGCAAGTCATACAGGTTTGGAATGACTTGAGGCAGAGTAAATGATTGAACTATCCTGTTAAGGACCCTTAAGCATCATACTTCTTAACATCTAAACCAATTCTGGGACACCATCAACCCCAGAACAAGGTCAACATCAGATACCTCGTTCATCGACGGACCTTGATTAGAAATACTGGCAGGTGAGAAATGGTGCTGAGGAACCAGGTAGGAGGTGACATGGAGCTTCTTCACCATGAAAAACAGCTGCGTCTGTACAGTGAGTCTGGATTAAAAGCCACGATGAGGAAGTGAGCCGTCACTCAACGCAAGACAAATGGGCATAGCGTGTCTGTATGTACGTAAGCATTCCCAACACGGTCAATACCAGCAGGTTGGACACAAGAAGGTCAGGAATGGAACAAAAGAGTAAAACAGGTTCCCCGATGTTTCTCACCCCATTCACTCTCTCTGGTTTACTCAAGGGATGTCTGGAATCTGCCTCAAGGGAGCGAAAGATCTGGCTGCATTACTCAACCCATGACCCCATAACCTCAGTGCCTTACAAAGAGCAAGCATCCTTTAAGAGAATGATGAATGACTCCTAAAGTATGGCTGTTCACTTGTGATTTATAAGGAGGTGGTAATATTTGTGCTTCTTTCCCAGCTAAAAAGACCAGCCATAACCAACCATAGGTGGTTATACGTCCTTAGATGGTTTAATCTAGTCAAAGTGGTTTCCCAGTCTGGTCAAGCTGGTTTTCAGTTGTTCTAGTTCATGTTCAGCTGAGAAGCCTGCAACCTCTCTGAAACCATCAAACTTGACCAGCCTAACTGGTGGTGTTATTGTCAAGACCAGCTCATTCCTAGACCTGAGTAGGTTGAGTCCAAGCCAAGACTGAGACCAGAAAACGGTCGAATCAAAGTCAACATAGAGACCCAAATAGGGTCTGAATGAATCAGACACTGAACATATGCACAACAAATAACACAGTGTGCTCTGGTCCAGAGACACCATTGCACAGAATGGATCATATTTAAGAGTCGGCAAAGATCACAAGATGTATCAATAGTGTTGAGTCAAGACCAGGTCCAAATGCTCCCTAGTCCATGACAAGACTAAAATCGTGAATATATGGTCTTGTACTCAAACTCAAGACTTATTCCGTCTGCCATCATGTACTATAACACTGTTGTCTGGTCACCTTTGACTGAAAAATTGTAAAATTGTAAAATTTAACTTTTTTTTTTTGCTTCATCGAAATTACACTTGGTGACTTTTGTTGTATTAACTGAGTAAACACACACAATAATGGTGTGATTCGGATATGTTAAAGGGTTGAAAGAAAGACACTTGGTTACCTTTGTCGCATTAGCTATGTGAGCCTACACAAAATAAAATAAAAAATCATGGACATTATTTGGATATATTAAAGGGTAGAAACATAAAAAAGTAACAATTGGTACCTTCGTGGACAAAAGTGACCAGAATAGGAAATGAAATTAAATAAATGAATAAATAGCTCATAAAAATGTATGAATATTGCATTGTATCATAAAATACTCTCAAAATTCAAAATAATAATCACATTATTGAACAAAAGTATATTAGATACATTTTCGTTGGGGAGGGGGGAGACTTATATTTCAAGGCTTTAGTCACTTTTTACTGTGAAGGTATCAAGTGTGACCCAAAAATGAAGAGACCCAGATGGTTAAAGGGATAGTTCACCCCAAAATGAAAATTCTGTCATTAATTACCCTCATGCCGTTCAAACCCACAAGACCTCCGTTCATCTTCAGAGCACAAATTAAGATATTTTTTGTGAAATCTGAGACCCCTCTGACCCTCCATAGGCAGCAACGCAACTGCAATGTTCCCAGTCCAAAACATTTTGCAAAGCTACGAGAATACTCTTGTGCGCAAAGAAAACAAAAATAACATAATTTATTCAACAATTTTACTCCCCGAGTTACCGTCTTCTGCCATTTTGGAGAGTACCACGACACATGTGCACGCTTTCCCCAGAACATAATCAACGTAATCAGCGTTGCGATTTATAAGGAGGTGGTAATATTTGTGCTTCTTTCCCAGCTAAAAAGACCAGCCATAACCAACCATAGGTGGTTATACGTCCTTAGATGGTTTAATCTAGTCAAAGTGGTTTCCCAGTCTGGTCAAGCTGGTTTTCAGTTGTTCTAGTTCATGTTCAGCTGAGAAGCCTGCAACCTCTCTGAAACCATCAAACTTGACCAGCCTAACTGGTGGTGTTATTGTCAAGACCAGCTCATTCCTAGACCTGAGTAGGTTGAGTCCAAGCCAAGACTGAGACCAGAAAACGGTCGAATCAAAGTCAACATAGAGACCCAAATAGGGTCTGAATGAATCAGACACTGAACATATGCACAACAAATAACACAGTGTGCTCTGGTCCAGAGACACCATTGCACAGAATGGATCATATTTAAGAGTCGGCAAAGATCACAAGATGTATCAATAGTGTTGAGTCAAGACCAGGTCCAAATGCTCCCTAGTCCATGACAAGACTAAAATCGTGAATATATGGTCTTGTACTCAAACTCAAGACTTATTCCGTCTGCCATCATGTACTATAACACTGTTGTCTGGTCACCTTTGACTGAAAAATTGTAAAATTGTAAAATTTAACTTTTTTTTTTTGCTTCATCGAAATTACACTTGGTGACTTTTGTTGTATTAACTGAGTAAACACACACAATAATGGTGTGATTCGGATATGTTAAAGGGTTGAAAGAAAGACACTTGGTTACCTTTGTCGCATTAGCTATGTGAGCCTACACAAAATAAAATAAAAAATCATGGACATTATTTGGATATATTAAAGGGTAGAAACATAAAAAAGTAACAATTGGTACCTTCGTGGACAAAAGTGACCAGAATAGGAAATGAAATTAAATAAATGAATAAATAGCTCATAAAAATGTATGAATATTGCATTGTATCATAAAATACTCTCAAAATTCAAAATAATAATCACATTATTGAACAAAAGTATATTAGATACATTTTCGTTGGGGAGGGGGGAGACTTATATTTCAAGGCTTTAGTCACTTTTTACTGTGAAGGTATCAAGTGTGACCCAAAAATGAAGAGACCCAGATGGTTAAAGGGATAGTTCACCCCAAAATGAAAATTCTGTCATTAATTACCCTCATGCCGTTCAAACCCACAAGACCTCCGTTCATCTTCAGAGCACAAATTAAGATATTTTTTGTGAAATCTGAGACCCCTCTGACCCTCCATAGGCAGCAACGCAACTGCAATGTTCCCAGTCCAAAACATTTTGCAAAGCTACGAGAATACTCTTGTGCGCAAAGAAAACAAAAATAACATAATTTATTCAACAATTTTACTCCCCGAGTTACCGTCTTCTGCCATTTTGGAGAGTACCACGACACATGTGCACGCTTTCCCCAGAACATAATCAACGTAATCAGCGTTGCGAGTGTTTTCTCCCGAACGTAAACAACACACAAAAAGTATTCTTGTAGCTTCACAAAACTGAAGTTGAGCCACTGATGTCACATGGACTGTTGTACAGATGTACTTAATACGTTTCTGGACCTGGGAACATTACAGTTGCATTGCTGTCAGGGTCAGAGAGCTCTCAGATTTCATCAAATATCTTAATTTGTGTTCCGAAGATGAATTAAAGTCTTAAAGGTGGGGTAAGCGATTTTTCAAAAACGCTTTTGAAAACTGATTCGGGCCGACTAACAGAACAAACTTGTAGCCAATCAGCAGTAAGGGGCTTGTCTACTCATGACGTGGAGGAGAGAGCGTTCAGTGCACAGGACGAAAATAGCGAGTCGAGCGACAGAAAGATAGAGATGGCGGATAAAAAACAAAAGAGGAAAACGTCTGCGGAACAAAATAAGGCTTAAGGCAATAAGGCAAGAAGTAGGCAATAAGGCAAGTAGTATCCGTGTAAATATCGGATCAGCTTTCCAGCGCTGGAGAGAACTCAAGGAGCGGAAGGGCTGCGATCGGACGCCGAGGTTGCTTTGTTTCTTCTCGATAGGTGAGTAACACTGTGTCTGTGCCGCAACAGCTAAAGTCTGTCTAGTACACTGGACACGACAAAGCGACCTTTGAAAATCATTTGAAATTTGTGTCAATACATAATTAATAGGACGCAGCAGCAGTTTTCTGTTGAGGATTTGTCGTGTCGTGCCACGCCGCATCCAGTGTAGACCATAGATATGTATATAATGTTATAGAGTTCCATAATATTTTGTTGCCCCGCGCCACTCGCGTCCGGTGTAGACACGGTGTAACTGGTTTTGCTTTGTTTCACAGAACTAATCATTGCCTGGGTTGCGTACATATGTGTGGGGCGGAGCTATCAAAATAGGGGCGAGACCCTTTTGGGGTAGGGGCGTGTTTGTGTTGGTGATTTCAAATGTCAACACTGGCTACCAGAAATTGCTTACCCCACCTTTAAGAGTTGGGAACAACATGAGGGTGAGTAATTAATGACATAATTTTCATTTTTGGGTAAACTAACCCTTTAACCTAAATGTAGTTTTCTGAAACACTCCAGAGTGAGAACAAGTTGCTTGTTGAGTATTTGTTTTACCCACAGGCATTGATTAATTTTGGATTAAGCTCAGTGTATCATTGTAATAAAAGGCATTTTATTAATATAAATGAGAGATTGCTATACTAGACATTTATAAGAAACACATTTCTGGTTTGGTGTCAATTAAGCGGTACTAAAGCCTCACTGATGGGGGCTGTAGGGGGTGAGAAATGTTGAGAATCACTGTTCTACTATTCCGTTCTTCCCCATTCTGACGTACTAATTAGATTTCTGCCTGAGGGCCAATCCATCATAATAAGTTGATGCAGAGCAGATTTAGAGATACTCAATATCTATTCTGCGTGACTTGTGTTAGCCTGTAATAACTCATATCTTCAACTTTTATGTGTCAGCATTTTGCACTGAAGTTTTATCATTCCTACGGGCAAGAAGCTCACCTAACTCTAGAGCTCAACAGGCTGCCCAGGGCGCAGAAGAGCAGTGGAGAAGTACAGACTCCAGAGAGCTGCAATCTAGGTCAAAGACTATTACATAACACACTGACAGGTTCGAACAATGGCATTCACAGTTTCCTTCAGATAACTGGCCTCAAAACTACTATTACTTTGTGATGAACTGAATGTTACTTCTCTCTCTTCTTTCTCACTTTCGTGCACATTTTGACATTTGTCATCGCTAGTCCGTGTCCTTGTCAAAATCAAAATGCACCCAAGTGCTTTTGCGGCAGTTTGGCTTTTTTGTTGTAGTGAATAATGGAAAGTATGAAACTGTTGTTGTGTTGGGAATAACTATCAACATTAATAAACTACTATTTTTCAACATTTGAGATGTTTTATTCGTTTTTTTGTCCCACATGTGTCTCTAAATGCATATATCATTCAATACAGTAAGATATAACTTTACTGTAAAGCAACTTAACAATGGGTAGCAATTTGACAGAATTAGAAGTTTTTGTGCAATACAAACATCAACCAATAGTAAGATATAGCCCCTTTAAATAGCTTTATTGTGGTTAGCATTAGATTGTAGCTTGAGAAGTGACAATTTAAAAGTAGTATGGCATGACAGCAGCTGAGTTGCATTAAAAATAATCTAGCTTTTACAGAAACAAACTACTTTTTACTGATGCATAGCGTAGTGCGTCGAAAAGATGTTGTGACAAAATAAAATGTTTTTGTGCCACATTTATGTCTAACTATGTTAATTATCCCTTTATTGTAGTTAGCATAATCTTATAGCTTGAAAGTGACAGTTTCAAAGTAGCTTGACATGACAGCAGCTTGCCTTAAAAATAATCTAGCTTTTACAGCAACAAGCAACTTTTCACCAGCGGGTAACAATGTAATAAAATAAAATGTTGTTATGACAAAATTAGATGTTTTTGTACCGCATATACATCTCTAATAGCATATGATAATTAGGTATTGCCCATTTGAATAGCTTTAGTATTGTTAGCATTAGCTTATAGCTTGAGAAAGTGACATTTTCAAAGTAGCTTGACATGACAGCAGCTGAGTTGTGATAAAATATCCTAGATTTTACAGCAACGAGCTATTTTTTACTGATGCGTAGCAATTTAGCATTTTGCCTAATGTAGTATAGCAATTTAGCGCAACAAAATGATATTTGTGACAAAATGAAATGTTTTTGTGCCACATTTATCTGTAATCTATGTATTTCATCCAATAGTAAGGTACTGCTCTTTTAAATAGCTTTATTGCAGTTAGCATTAGCTTATATAAGAATCTACTTTTCACCAATTACTAGCGCTGTAATGAAATGTTGTTGCGACAAAATTAATGTTTTGTGCCACATGTACAGTACATCTCTAATTATGTTTATAATTAGCAGTTCTTTGTGGTCCTCGAATTTGATTGGCTGAGAGGAGTGCGGTATTCTAGTGATAATAGAAATCCAACCATTTCACCATTTGTATTACTCCGCTTCGGTAACACAGCGAGTGTCATGGCGGATGCCCAAATCCACTATAATTCTATGAATAGTACTGTTTTTGTGCCACGAAATGTAGTTTTGAGAGTTTTTTAGGCAAGAATGTACTTGTTTAGACTTCAAATATGCGGTTTATTAATAAAGATAATGTCTTTTTGAAAATATGGCTG